CTTTATATAAATATTTTTCTTGGGGTATTTTAGGTAGTTCCAATTTTTTAGAAAAGTAATGCCATTTTTAAAATATGACTTTGTTTTTAGGCTATCTATGCATATATCCTCCCCCACCAACCTTGTCTAACCCAAAGGATTAATAATGGGACCAAATGACCCTTCAATGATCAAATTTGTTGTTACATTAAAAAAATCTGCACATGGTAGGGCTACATGAATGTGATGTGACAAAATGTCATAGTCGTACGTTTGATGTACAAAATTTTAATTTTTCACTATTGTCCCCAATGTTTATTAAGGATTAAAATCAAATTTTCAGAAAATTTTGATAAAAGTTGATAAGATGCGTGGTTAAAAAGTTATGTATCTATAAAATATATGGTCGAAATCAATTGTTGACATTGACGTAAATTAAAATAAAAATAAAAATTTTAATTTCTACCAAACCAGGGCTATATGCCTTGAAAATTATTATCATTGTTATAAAATTAAAAGTAGTTAGAAGTAATGGGACTAAATTACTATGTCAACACGAGACTACGAAACCTATCATGTTTCGTAAGAGCTCATGTCGATAATTGTGATATTTTATAATATTTTTGGCAGGACAAATTATGACACAAAAGAAATATGACATTCCATCATATCCATACTTTTGCTTTTAACAAAGATGATTTTACTCCTATTTAGATTTTAAAATTGATGCATAATTTCATTGACACAATTACGTTATAGAGTAACTTATCGAGGGATATATTTGATACTTTCAAAAGGCGTGTATAGAGGCATTTCCGCTAATGCAACAGTTACTCTAGTTGGATTACTACTTTTATTTAAAATTTCAATTTGTAAAATAATAAATTTTGTTAAAAATCTGATTTTTAACAAAATAAATTAAAATTTCAATTTGTAAAATAATAAAATTTGTTAAAAATCTGATTTTTAACAAAATAAACCGACTGCATATATTTGTATGTATGCATGTATGTATGTATTTTCCATGTGCCTGAAATCCTTTCTTGACAGTAATCTACTTTAACTAGAAACTTCTTGGAGTGCTTGGGGGTCTAACATTTTTTATTTTTATTTGTTTTATATGTTGAATTATTGTGTGTCTAACTTGCTCGTGTATAAAATACCAACTTTGAATTCTAAATAAGTCTATTAAAGTATTATTGACAATTTATTAAGTTAAGCTACATTTCCTTGATGTGTAAATTTATGTGTTTTTATGTCTCGCCAATTCTTTTATGGTACTTAGTCTATAGAGAAAAGATATGCTAAAATGTAACATGATAAATAAATTTATAGAGTTAATTCCGCGTAGCACCGTTTTCTCAAAATAATAAATTTATATGACAATTTTATTGGAGCAATAATTAGTTTCTCTCCTCAAGACGTGAAAGGGTTAAGAGTCAAATCAGGTAATAAATTCAAATACAATGTGGTAATGCGGTGACATGCCTATATCACAAACGTAGTCAGTTAAACTTATCAAACATCGATTACTATTTCATTATTAATCGAAAGACTCTGATGGAGCTATGTTTGGGAAAATTTATAAATTATTTATAAATGATCAAACTTTATAAATTAAAATGCTTGCTCTCCATACATTCTTGTAACTAACAAGAGTAAAAATGCACTTAAATTGAAATGTCCATCATTTCCATTGCCAAATTCTCAAGCATCAGAGCTTCTACTTCTCTGTTGCACCGCATCTTGTTCCCTGTGACTGGTAACAAAGCATTAATTAATTAATTAATGGTCACCCCCATTATATATATATATATATATATATATATATATAGATATGACAGTGAAACTTGAACTTATAATTTTTGTCGTATAAATTACCATATCTAATAATGTTTATAATTAGTAAAAAATTATATTAAGCCTCCTTGACAACCATTATTTGAGTGAAACAGAGTTTTGAATAGTGATTTTTAGGAGAATATGTGGTTAGAAGGTTAAGAACAGTTTTGAGTTTACGTGCAGATTATTTTATTGTGTGAATGTGTGGTTGAAAATGAGTATGTAGAAAAAAAGAGTTTGAAAATAATGATTGCCAAACAGGTTTTCTCCAACAAAATCCTACTTAATATAAAAAAGTCGAAAAAACTCACCATAGCGAGATGTAGGGAGATTAGGAGTAGGGTTCGGTAGGTTCTTTAGAGGGCAGGATGAAAGTGGAAGAACTGGTAGATTTTGACAGTTGCAAATTTCAATCATATAACCATCTGGATCATGGAAGAACAATTGATCCACTGTTATGCCTCCTTCTCTTACCACTGCTGTCACATATTCTATCTTCATTTCTTCCAGTTTCTGAATTATGAGTTCCATATCTGTGCATTGGAATGAAATGTGGTTGTCTTTCGGATTTATTTTATCTTTCTTGTTGGGAACATTTTCTACAGCTTCAAGCAAATGGATTCCTATTCCATGGTTGAACAACCTACAAATTACATTCAATTTGGATTAGTAATCAAATTCCCACCAAACCTTGATGAATATCATAAACAAGAAAAGATTAATGTAGATTATGTTCAAGATGTATAAGGATTAAGTGCCAAGACTTGAAAAATGTATACTTGGTGCATTGAACTGGACAAGACACGACATGATTATCTCTGTACAGTACTTTATTATACCGAACATGTTAGGACTTGCCTAAATAGCAATCCATACCAGACTTACGAGGACCAATTACATTTATTTTTGCAATTGAAAAGGTACAACGTTAATTTGTGGGTGTCAAATTAAAACCTGTTGGAACAAAGAAATAACTAACGCTAATGCTCAAGAATAAACTATATTAATATGGACCATTAATGCTTGAAAACATTGAAGTTCTTTTATTTTTTTTGAAGATTGGGGTGTTAAAATCCTGTATGAGAGAGAGAGAGAGAGAGAGAGAGAGATGAGTATATGTACCAAGCTCCTTCAAAGTCAAAGGAAGAAGGCCTTTTGATGAGGACGAATCCAAGAACTTTCTCATAAAATTGTACAGATTTCTTGACGGATTTGCAGACAAAAGATACATGGTTTAGAGACAAGATTGACAATTTATTTGCTTCATTAGAATATTCTAATGACTCACTCATTATCTCCTCTATCTCTCCATTCACTCTCTCTCTTCCCATCTCTCTTTCTCTCAATTTTTCTCTCCGAAACTCCCTCTTCTAAGCACTCTGTAGTTGTATTGCATAATGCTGATAAGCACACACATATATAAGCCGGGGGGGTGGGGTGAGCTATGCCACATCTCAATCCTACGTGACATTTGACCTTCACGTAAAAAATCCAACCTGCTTATTCATTCTTATCCACCGACGCAAATAGAAATGATCAACGTGCAAAAACATTAAACTATATATGTTTGAAAATTCGGAGATTCACTAAGATTTACAAGCATGTACTAATGATTTTAGAAGTAATAAGTAAATTGAGATAATATTGTAGACTCACCCTTACCTCGTAAGAGGATTTTATATGTACAATATTAACGAAAAAGATTTTTTTTTTTTTTTAAACTTTAGTGTTACACCATCCCTTCATATTGAATACTACGTAATAAATTCTTAATGTATTGGACAACATTGATGAAAAGATGTAACAAAATTTATGACTTTATTATGTATAGTCAATTTTAAAATATTATAGTGGTCACGAGACATGTTATAAAAGTGTTCCAAAGCCAACATTTAAAAAACATGTTCAACACCGTTGTCTTGTTTTGGATTCAAAATTAATTCTACTCGTAATTTTTCTTATTTGTGTGAAGTATCACGAAACTTTATACCATTGCACGTTTACGGATATGAAATCAATGGTCAAAATTGAATTCAATTGTCGATTGCCCTTATAGAAAAGAACGTAATTTTAATCTATCGAATACGAGTCTTACGTAGTTTCGACACAAAATATTTTTGCATTTCTTTATTTGAAAATATTATTGTTTCCACTGTAGCTCAAGGGCCCATTTGATAGTCTGTCAAGAAAACGATACCGTTTGGCATTTTTAAAACGAGCTTATAGCATTTATTTTCTTACCAATATGTCTGACTTAATTTAAAGTTTACAACCCACTTGCCGGCTAATTTTTTTTTCTTTTTATGGAAAATGTTAAGTGTATACATCTATACATTTTCATAGACGATATTAGACATTATTAGAGCATAAAAAATATTTTTCATATAATTTATGAGTTATATTATTAGGGGTCTGTTTGGGCCGGATTAAAATCTAATTTTAATTTAAGTCTAAATCAAATAATCAATATTAACCACATCTTTCATGATTCCTACATTTTTTCAACTATACATTTCAAAAACTTCTATCACAATTCACTAAAAATCTAATTTTAATTTCCACCAAACACCCTCTAGATGAATTATGTCTAATTTGTCGTATATATATATATTTTTTATATTTCATTTATTTTAAACCATAGCTATGCATATGCTTCGTAGCCGTAGTCCGAAGTTCGAGTTTGGCAAAAGCTTAACTTTTTTTAAGTTGATTAAATATATTTATTCCTACAATTCGTAAGATTTAATTAATTTTAGAGCTAAAGATAAGTGTTCGTGCGAATACTCATACGCTATTACCTGTCCATGATACTCGCACTTTCGAGGTTCAAGCAATCAACTACCAAGCACACTTTAAATTTCTCTCCCATATTTAATTTTTTTTTTCCCGACAATATTGAAAAGTATCAACAATAATTGTGATACGGATAAATATGAAAGGTTGTTGTCTAGCCACTATATGCATTTAACTTGTGTTGATGAATCTCTTCTGTTCTATAAGAGGGCACGCAACAATATCAAGGTCCAGTTTTTGACATTAGATGCGAACCCACATGGATATGACATAACAACTACTTAGAGTTTTGAAACTTTAATTTGATTTTCCTTGTTTGAGACTTTACCTACTTGATTGGTTGAATGCTTGATAGATTCTTATAAATGATTTCTAAATACGTGATCACTATTGAATGACTTGAGATTTGTTTTTGCTTTCGAGAGTTTGAAAATAAAATCTAGCACATGTAGCAATTATCATTAGTTATAAAGATATACCGTTACAGGGTAATACGGTGTAATACGCGAAGTAGCTGAGCAACTCAAGATTATAGTCGTCTATTTCCATAAATTGAGAGTTAAAAGTGGAAAAATGGGAGTCGGGACCCTGGTGCCTCTTTCATATTTAAAACTTTTCCAAAATTCTCGTTCAACCTTTCGTTTGATTTTAATTAGTTTTAAGTTAAAAGTAGAAAATCACTCAAAACTTGACTAATTCGGTTAAAGTAAGATTTAATTGATTTTAGAGCTAAAGACGAGTTCTCGTGTAAATACTTTACTCATACACTAATACTTGTCCACGATACCTGCATTTGCGGGTTTTAAGCGATCAACTACCAAGCACGCTCTAAATTTCTCTCCCATAATTAATTTTTTTTTTTCGACAATATTGAAAAGTATCAACAATAAAATGACATGTAAAAAATGTAAAAGGTTGTTGTCTAGCCACTAATATGCATTTAACTTGTGTTGATGAATCTCTTACAAAATTTTCATGTAGGTTTTGGAACATTAAATCATGACAATGAAGCTTAACATGTAAAGGGATCTCTAACTACTTTCTCTTGAGCCTGATTTTTCTGAAAACATTATCAGCATGTCTACCATTATAATTATCACATTTTTGTTTTATAAGAGGGCATGCAACACTATCAAGGTCCACCTTCTAACATTGTATGTATGTATGTATGCGAACCCACATGGATATGGCAGAAAATAACAAGCAACTACTTAGATTCTTATTTATTGACTATCACATTTAGAGAAGATAAGAAAGGCTATCGCTTAAAATTATAATAAAAGGTAGATATTCATCGTGTGATTCTCAATATTGTAAAGTAGCTCCTTTTTTTTTTTCCAAATGTGGACCACTTGAACATGACTCATGAAGGGTCAATTTTAGGTAGAAAGGATTGATTTGATCCAACATTCGAGTAATTCCATTTACTAAATATACATGAAAACGAGGGTAATCTTTTACAACATTATTATACAAGCACTACAACAAAAATAATTTTTTACGGCATTCATTTGCAGCGTACGTATAAGACATGTCGTAAATGTATGCCTTAATAAGTCAGCTACTTAAATGGTTTCAGGTACGCAGTAAAAAGATTAAGAGCTTGTTTGAGCCATATCTCTTATAAAAAATGCATTTTGAAATAGTGATTTGATAGAGAACGTGTGGCCATAAAATAAGGAAATTTTTTGAATTTACGTATAATAATATTTTATTGAAAAATGTGTAATTAAAAATAAGATAGAGAAAAAATGTATTTTGTAAATAATAGATACCAAACAAGGTTAAATGTAATTAACGGCATCCCTGAAAGCATGCCGTAAAAAGTAATATAATTTTATGTCATTGGTTCCAGACTCTTGAATCCTGGACAACGTCGAACCAAACAGGCAAATTGGAACTTTGGTTTGATTAGTGAAGTTCATTTCGTACATTCTCTAGAGTTTGTAGTTGTACATTTTCATTTTTGACTATGTTATATCGATGTAATAGCAAGGTGGCAAAACATGACAATTTTTGAAAAGGCGATAGTGGAGTCGTCCTTTCAACAAAAACTTTAGCATGTGATCACGTCTTTTTTTCACTGTCCTTTCCATCAACTTGCTCATCTATGGGCTCTTAAGCAGGAATAGCCATTAATTTCTAATCCAAAACTATGAATTTGTCTATAAATTATCTTCATCTTCTGTTAAATAGATCAATACTATTTGAGATTTCTTTGAAGAGAGACATGAACTTCCTTTACTTCACTGTGGGAGTTCTCGCGATCCTTGGCGAAACTGTCAAGACTGTAGAATGTTTTAGCACCACCACAACCATCAGCGCCACTCAGCGCCACAAGTGCAATGGTTCCACGATTGGTGACTGCATTCCGGTAAATGAAGAGTTTCTGATGGAATCAGAAATAAGCAGAAGGATTTTGGTTGAAGGGAACGGTTACCAACCTCTCAATCCGATCAAACACTTCTGCGATGAAAAAATATACGGTAGTTGTCTTGGAGAACCGAACACGATGTTCAAAACAAACCGCCCTTGTACCTTCCAAAATTTATGCGCTGGGCATGGGAATTGATTTAAGGATCAATCAATTGTGGCGAGCATGTATGGCTTTGCTTCTAAGCTAAGCCAAACATGATCAGTGTTCCCATTTGTTGTCTTTTATGTATTATGCGAATAATTAATGTCGTATGTATGTATTTTGTTTGTTGCTTTATTACATGTATTATATTAATCAGCTTGTTCACTCCAAATTAATTTATAAAAAATTACCACCCTCCCTCTATATGCTAAAAATAAGAAAATATAATGAATCTAGTAGGTAGGTTACGAGCTAAAAATTATTCCCTTCGTCCCATAAAAGTAAGCTTGATTCTCCTTTTCGTCTATCTCAAATTATAGATCACTTTCCTTATTGAATTAAAATTTTGTCCCTTGTGCAGAATTCCTCAGCACCGACGATTAATTAACAATTATTAAAACAAAATATGGTGATTAGACAAATTTAAATAAAATGAAAAAGATAAGGAAAATTTTGCACCATTGGCCCTTAACCTATTCACTCAATAGAAAGTTGGTTTCTAACTTTTAAAGCAGTACAATAAAGGAACAACATCGAGATCAATTGTAAAGTAGCTCGTTTACTTTTTTCCAAATGTGGACCACTTGAACATGACTCATGAAGGGTCAATTTAGGTAGAAAGGATTGATTTGATCCAACATTCGAGTAATTCCATTTACTAAATATACATTAAAAAGAAGGTAATCTTTTACTACATTATTATACAATCACTACAACAAAAATAATTTTTTACGACAGTCATTTACAGCGTACGTATAAGGCATGCCGTAAATGTATGCCTTAATAAGTCAGTTACTTAAATGCTTTTAGGTACGCCGTAAAAAAATTAAGAGATCGTTTGAGTCATATCTTTTATGAAACAGTCGCGCTACAGCAACAGGGATTAGATCCAGGATTTAAATCCCAACTGACGTGGCATTATTTCCTGGGACAATTCCTGACACCACCAACCGCCTCCTTTTACCCACCCACCCACACACAACCAAACCCAACACAGCCACCCCTTCCCTGTTTTTCTTATTTATTGTCTTAAATTTCGAAATTATTACGTGAATGTTAAACGAAGTCGAAATATTACATCCTTAACACCATTTCGAAGTACTCACGATCTAGTTTAT